CTGGCAGATTAGGCACAGGGGAATCAGAGGGAGGTATAAAAGGGGAGGAAATGGGCTCTAGACCAGGGAAAGAGGGGAGTGGCTTGAGAGGGAGTTACCCCTAGCTCCCACAGGTGGGAAGACTACTTTCTGGAGTGGGGAGGAGTTGTCTGCTGCCAGTATAGTATTGAACTGAGAGGGAATTTCCCCCTACACTTGCCTCCCTTACTATCCTCCTCACTCTTCTCAACCAGGCTGAGCGTTCACATTAACACCAGTCAGAATATTAGTAGAGAAGAACAGATCTAATTACATATGGAAAAATCTACAGGAATGTAAATTCTAAAGTAAATCTTGTCCAAAGGAAGGTATTTATTCTGATCAGAGGAATGGGCTAGCAGCCTGGGACTTCAAGGAGAGAGGGGAGGACTCATGATGAAAGGAACACATGCCCTGTAATTATAAGACTGCCTGACAGAGTGAAAGCTCTTTCAGAGAGGTTGTTTCTGGAGAGAGCTGTCGAACTGGGTAGCACCCCAGACTTTTGTCCTTTTAGGCAGATAAGAGAATGGTAAAAAATTTCTCTTGAGCCTGCAACCTGTGTTGATCTTAGTCTAAATAACCCACACAGCAAAGTGAGTTATCTTAAGGAGGCCTATTCTTGGTGGCTTAGGGCTCCCTACCTTAGCACATCAGAGAGGTCTGTTGCTGTTTCTTCTAAAGCCAAAGGATCCAATTGGAAACTCTCCCTCTCCAGCTATTGGGATGTTGGAGCATCTTCAATCCATCATACCCTTGAGGCTCACAGAGAATGAAAGAGGCAAGAGGGAGATGGGAAAGTCCCTTTAGTTTTTAATGCTATTACTAGTTTTCAATTGAGAGGACTTGACCTGGATTATACCAGGGAATCTGCAGTTAGTTTTTTGCTGGGCCAGCAATGGGGTCTAGGTATCTCTGGCTCTTCTAAACCTCTCCTCCATCCTAGGATTCAAGGATGTATAGAGTTGGAACTTTATCTCAGAACAAGAAGCTTAGAAAGTTGGAGAAAGAGTAAAGATGGGGGATCCCAGGGAATAGCTGTCTCTTTTTATTTTACTTTTCTTTGGTTCTTGGGCCACACCCCAAAACAGGGCTTACTCCTGACTCTGTGCTCAGAAATCACTCCTGGTGGGCTTTGGGGACCAGATGGGGTGCACAGATTGAATTTACGTTTGCTGTATGCAAGCAAACACCCTGCCTGCTGTACTGCCTTTCTGGCCCTATTAAATCGTGTTTCTTGATCTTGATAAGACCTAGAGATGGAAAGAATGAGACACTTTGTTTTTTTTCCTTTGGGAATTGGGATATGATCTGACCCTCACTTAGTAGTGCTCAGGGCTATTTCTGGCTCTGTGCTCAGGATTTACTCTTGATGGTACTTGACAGACCATGTGTGGTATTGGGGGTCAACTAGGATTGGCTACATAGAAAGGCAAGTGTCTTACCCAATGTATTATCTCTTCATTACAAGTACTTCATTTTCAAGAGAAGAAAGCTGGGTTGTTACCAACCCATAGACTTTCTCCATTGCACAAGTCATAAGTAATTCCTGCTATAATCACACCGTATTTTTGAAAAGTAAAAAATTAAACTTTAACCCTAAAGTCTTCCTTTAGGTGAAGAGCTGATTCTCTAGTTTACCACAAACACCACTCTCCCCAGCTTCCTTGCCTTACCTTTACACATTTCTGTTATCTGGACATAACTAAGGGTATTTGAGTTTGCAGCATCTACAGTGTTTTTCTTTGTCTTGTTTCCCCTTCCTCAACAGACACTTTTTGCTTCTACTTCAAATTAGTCCACTGAAGTACTGGCTCAGTTTTCCTGAGAAACACAAATAGCCTGTGGAACTTAACCTGACATGGAAAGATTTAATTTGTCCAGAGAAGTTCCTCCCAGGACTGCTTTATTTCATTAAACTTCTGACTTGGGGAAGCTTCCTTAAAGAAAGGAGGTGCATGTCTGGAGAAACCTTGATTATGGGGCGCCCTCCCCAGTGTGCTCCAGGTATAGGGCTTTGTCTAATGTTTCTGCCATGTAAGTGATAGGTTTGAGGACCCTACCTAGTGCAGACAGAGGGACATGACAAGTTAAATGAAGAAACAGGAAAGGTTTATTCGGGGTGCACTCCTAGGTGGGCCCCAATGACCTCTGGAGAGGTTTGGGGCGAGGCTGCACCTGGGAGAGACACAGTTGGGTTTTAAAAGTCTCTAGCACAATGGGAGACAAAGGACAGCATGGTTTTCCTGGCAGTAAGGGAGCAAAAGGAGGGTGTGCTCTTTGGTGGGAGGGAAGTAAAGGATGATGAGGTTGTTCTGGTATTCCTTTATCCACAGGGGGTGGATGGAATGCAACCTGGTAGAATGGTCTAGTCCTCCTTGTGGGAAGAGGAGGCAGGATGATGAAGCCAACCTTGCAGCAAGCTCACCTTTTCACAGTTTTAGCCATTTTTCTGGACTCATTACTTTATCCTGATCTGTTTACGTAGAATGAGACACCATATTTTTCCTTTTCTGTTTTTCTTCATGTCTTCATTCCTCCAACTTCCTCATTTGGCAATTAATTTACCAGAAGAATTCCAGGTAGTTCCAGTGGTAACCAGGATATAGAAAAAATATTTGATATTTCTAAATTTTACTTCAAACTCAGTGTTTGATGTTGAGTAAATCCTTTTCCAAACTTTTAGAATCGGGGTATAATCAATATGTAATAGATTAAGCTATGCAACATGATTTATTGCTCATTTAGGTTTATCTCTATACTGGCACCCAAATATTCTCTGTCTCTCAGGAAAAGCTAGTTCTGGGAGACTGGAGAGATAGTATAGTGGTTACTGTATTTGCCTTGCCTGAGGCCAACTCTGGTTCAATCCCAGCACCACATGGTTCATCCCCTAGAACAGAGTTTGAAGTCACCTCTAGGCACTGCTAGAGACAGCTCAACTAACGTCCAGTGTACCTGCTACCCCCAAAGGAGAGAGGAATATTCTGTGCATTTCTTTTTGGTTTTTATACTTCAAATAACTCAAAAATCAATATTTTGATGACTGAAGTGTAAATGAATAAGTAACATGGAATAACTTTTTGTTTCGGTTACATGAACAGAAATTCTATGGCATTTTAGTAGAAACTGAGACAAAGGGGCTTAACTTTAGGTCAAGGAGTTGACTGCTCTTTTCTCTGTATGGTAGACATAGCACCTTCTAAAGAGTACAAGCCAGAAAGTGTTTAGTGGGGTCGTCTCTGACTCTCCTTGTAGTTTCTCCTCTGAGAACTGTGGTTCTACTGTTATTGTTCTGTTATGCACTGTCTCTCAAAATAGGTGCAGAAAAGAGCCAGATTAACTTTCCACATGGGCAACATCATCTAGCCTTTGATCACAAGTAGTAGCTGGCTGATTCTAAATTGGGCCTGCGAACACATTCAGAATTAGTTATGTTGATTTTTCTTCCTTATAAGAAAATAGGTGTGCCAGAAGATAGTTCAGAGGTAGGGTGCTTGCCTTGCACATGGCTCACCTGGGTTCAATCCCTAGCACCATATATTCCCCTGAGCACTGCCAGAAGAAATCCCTGAGCACAGAGTCAGAAATAAGCTTGAGCACCACAAGGTGTGGTTCCCAGACCAACAAAACAAAGCAAAACATAGTTGTTCCTGAGGTGTGCTCCTCTTTTTTTCTTTTTATGTTAATTCACGCTTTTTTGATACTTATCAAGTGAGCTTGTATTTTAGGGAGGAGAGATGAAGATGGAGTAATAGGATCAATTCATGAAATTCCAAAAGGTTACATCTATTTTTCTGACTTCTGCTTCCCACTCTTTCACTGTTATTGCTTCATGGTTTGCTCATAAGTTTTGGGGGGTATAATAATAAAAATATAATGAAGCTTCCATTTAAATTTTACTCTTTATCCTTTTTGTGCCTATGGAAATTCTTATTTTTTCTTATTATTATTATATGAGATGACTTTATCTCTACTAAAACCTTAACAAATTACCTTTCTTCTACATAAGGATATATATGTCTAAGGAACCAAACTAATCATATGGAACCACAGCATACTCTTCTCAGAATATTATTAATACAGAAATAGTCAATTTTCTAATTTCTGTTTCTGCATGCTATCTCTATACTATTTTATGTTCTATCATTAGAACATCAATATTTAAAACATTGTATGCATTTTTCGCAAAATGTAGTAATTGTCAAATGTAGAGCTTATTCTCTTACAGTTTATCCTTATATGGTTCTCATCCCACAGCTGCACATCAAATGATCTGAGGAACTTTTAAAAGTTGATACAAGGACCAGAGAAGTATCATAGGATTAGGGCACTTGCTTTGCATGCAGCCGATGCAGTTCAATTCCTGGTACCACAGATGGTCCTCTGAACACTACCAGTAGTAAGCCCTGAGCATAGCTGAGTAAAGTCTCCCCAAGTCAAAAATAAAATGAAAATTGATGCCAGTTCCATCCCATATCAATTTTAGAATCTTTGGGTGCAAGGACTTAGGCATATTTGACATCTTCTTGGTTATTTCTAATATACAGACAATGAAGAATCATTTTCCTGAAACAGTTCTCACAAATATAGTTTTGAATCTGTATCACTTGGAATCTTGTTAAAAATACAGGTTTTTAGTACCCTTCACTCCTACCTCCCAACTTGGTGATTCCCTCAGTTTGGGGTGCAATTCAAGAATTTTTATTTATGCTGATATCATGTTGATGCTTCATGTGATGTGTTTTCAAGAAACCAAATCCTGGGACTGGATAGATAGTAAAGCAGTTAGGGCACTTGCCTTGCACCCAGGTTCAAAATCCAGCATTCTATTGCAGGTCCACTGAGCACTGCCAGGAATAATTCCTGAGTGCATTGCTGGGTATGGCTAAAAAAATAAACATGAATAAAACTGAATTTAAAACATTTTTTTAAAAGAAATCAAATTTTGCTGGGGGTTGGGCATACTTTGAGAACCATTGATGATACATCATGTTAAAGAGGTGCTGGAAGTTGAATTAAGGTTCAGTGAAGAAGAGAACCATGATTTATTAGTCATGGCTGCCATTGTTCCAGGGAGGCAAAATTGTAACTTTCACTGGATTCATCCCAGTAGAGAAATGAATTATTCCTGGAGTGATCTCCTATACACAGTGAATCCTACTACATATGACAGTTTGTGCTCACCAGCATCCAGCCCAACTCAGAGAGGGTAGCTTTTTGGGTTTTTTCTTATAAATATGTTATCTTATCTGATTTGCTGGCTGGAACCTAGCACCTGATGAGGCCTGTGATAGATCACTGTGCTGGTCCTGGGGGTGCTTAGTAAAGTCTGCAGGGAGGGAGCAGCATGAAGTCAGAGAGCGAAGGGCTGAGTGCAGATGAGCCTTATTATGTGTTTGTCTTGTTTTCTCTCAGTTCTGAGGGGCTCCATGGATCATAAAAGCAACCTGCAAGTTGATTCCAGCAAAAGCCAAGCAGAGACTTCAAGCAATTCTCCTGCCATCCCTGAGAAAAATCAGTGAGTCTTAACCATCACTATTCCTAGTCTGAAACTTAGAGGCTGTGTTCTATGGATAAGGAACAAGAAGTATTTCCTATAACAAGAAGTATTTCCTATACTCTCATTTTAATGATTTAGAGCAATAGTTGTTTAACTGTGGGCCCTTTAGCCTCACTGAGGTTTCTCAGGATAATCCAAGGATGCCACAGGTAAAAATTGTATAAATGGGCAGGGGGCACACTATGAAATTAGGGGCTAACAGTGGATCTGACAGGGGATACCACCAGAAGGAAACAAGTTCAGAATGAGGTCACAGTCAGAAAAAGGTTGAGAAATACTGAGTTAGCCAGAATGAAACAAAAATGTGTTTCCCATTAGATTCTACCATGTCAGACGTTGTTTGCCTGTGAGCAAAAGTCTTTACTCTACAGGGCAACCTGAATACAAGACTGTTGTGGGGGGTTTCTTCATGATAAAACCTACATTAAGAGATCAAAGAGATATTACAGTGGGCAGGGTGCTTGCCCTACACTCAGTTGACCCAGCTTTGATCTTTGGTATCCCATATGATCTCCCAAGCACTGCCATAAGTAATTCCTGAGCATAGAACCAGAACTAACCCCTGAGCATTTCTTGGTATGGTCAAAAAACAAAAACAAACACAGGAACAACAAAAAAACCCCCTATGTTAAGATAAAGCATTACTTCACAACTGAGTAGTATTGCAATTCCTTTCCCCTCATCCCCCATTCTATCCCCTGGGATCTTTGACAAAGTCTGGTTGTCCCAACCATAGTGGGAAGAATTGTTCTGATGGTATCTAGTGAGCTGTGCCTTTCCTAAAAGATACCACATGACCCCTTGCAACAGGAATCCAATCTTAAAGTGACAACAATCCCAAAGTTGAGAAACCTTAAGTTTAAGTATACACAAGAAATTTTCACAAGTTTTAGTTTAAAATAACTCAAAATGCATAAGGCAGATTGGGCCTGAGACCACAATAAACTATTTTCAAGGTATATCTGAGCCACCCAGGTCTGCAGATGATGATGGTTGTAACTAAATTGGGGCTCAGGTTACTTTAAGTCAGGTCAGTCCTGGCCACAACTCCCAGCACTAAAGATTAAACACCTTCCTCTTTATGAAGCTCTAGAAGTCTAGAAGTTCTATAAGTACTCCTCCAGATATTCCTCTTTATGGGAAACCCACCTTAATCTCAGAAGAAGTTTCCAAGCATTACCACACTTGTCATCAAGAAGTGCCAACTACACCAGATAGTAGATTGTGGCAAAGAGAAAGTAACCTAGAATGATGTTATTCTTTCTTTCATCCCCCAGTTCAATTGTGGGGACACACACTAAAAGTGTACTCCAGGAGTCAGAGAAAGAAACAGCTCACTAATAAGTTCCTTTGCCACTTTGTACCTGAAAATTGAGTGGTCTTAATTAGTAACTTCTAAAATATTGTTAGTTTTTAGTCTTCTTGTTATCATTACTGAAACTTGCCCAGTTATGTTCTTAACAATCCCTAAGTCGTTGCAAATTGTTGGTCTGCTTTACAAACAACTGCTTTTCTTAATAGTAGAGTCCACTAAGAGCACTTGAAGAAATATAACAGAACCAGCTTCTCAAAATAATCAAGTTTCGAACTTCTGATGTCACAGTAGAAGTAAAAATGATTAAGCCACTGAAGTGGAAAACTTAGGTTCTTACCTTATTTGACTCTGGGTGAGTCAGTGTACCCATTCTGTCCTTCTCCGGCCCCTGCCTGATTGCTCTCGATTTTAAGTGATGACTAACTTTATTCTGAATATTTTGACAATGGGCTGGAGCAATAGCATAGCGGGTAGGGTGTTTGCCTTGCACAAGGCCGACCCAGGTTCAATTCCTCTGTTCCTCTCAGAGAGCCTGGCAAGCTACCGAGAGTATTTCGCCTGCACAGCAAAGCCTGGAAAGCTACCCATGATGTATTTGATATGCCAAAAACAGTAACAACAAGTCTCAGGTCTGAGACACAAGTTTCAGTGCTTGGTCAGTAGCTTAGGGACATCATCAAAGACACCAATTTCTTCCTTCTCCTGGCTCTGCTCTCAGCGTATCAGTGATACTGTCACTTAACAGTCATCAGGTGGTTGTAGCAACACTAAGCATCACTTCATCACATAGCCATGTCCATAGCCAGCAGGACGAGGTGAATAGCAAAGAGCTCTCTTTAGGAATCTCCCTTCATTTGCCAGAAGAGAAACCTTTCCCAGAAGATCCCAGGATGTGCCCCTCAAGCGTCTTTGTCAAGAATTTACAGAGTACTCAAGGGAAACTGACATAGCAAGTATTGGCATTTTCAGCTTTTCTAGGGCAAGAAAAAAGTAATTGGAGGAGGAATGAACCAATGAAAGACAGAATAAGACTAAATTAGAGAATTCATAGAGAAGACGTGGTGAGGAGTATAGCTGAGAATAATAGTGGCAGGTTGTGGTCATCATTGAGATTCTGCTATTATTTACTGTGGTGCCAGTTCTTACACAGATTTATTTGAGATAATTCACACATCATTATTTGGGTTGGCATTACTGAGTCTACAGATTCAGCTCATCCAGAAGAGACACCAATGTCATGGAGGGAATAGCTGGCAAGATGGGTATAAATCCAGATCTCCCATCTCCAATAAATACTAGCAAGTAACATCTGATCATCATTAACAACTTCCTGGTCACTGCACCTGATGTTTTACATGCATTATTCTATTCAATCCTCATAAGTCCCTAGGAGAGGTGTACAGTTTATAATTTCAGGCACTTTAAGATCACATTACTTGCTGATGTTACTTAGTAAAGTGAAGAGTCAGGATTTGAATAAAGGCCTGATTCCAGAGTCCATAATTTTAGCCTGTAATTCAGAAAAAAAAATCTTGTTTGTTTTTTGGACCACACTTGGCAGTGCTCAGGGATTACTCCTGGCTTCAGTGCTCAGGTTTCACTCCTGGCAGGACTCAGGGGACCTTATTCAATGTTGAGTATATAACCTGGGTGCAAGGCAAGTACTCTAACCACTATACTATCTCTCAAGCTCCTTTAAAATTTTTAAATTCTTTTTATTCATTATTTTTCAGTTTTTGGGGTCACACCCAGCAGTGCTCAAGGCTGGTACAATGCTCTGGGATCAGTCCTGGTGGGATTCAAGGGACTATGTGTGGTACTGGGGATCAAACCTACGCCAGCTGCATACAAGGCAAACAAGAAAGAAAAAAGCTCATTTTCATTTAAAAAAATGACGATTTCCTTTTAAACGTCCCCTTCCCTTCCCTTTTGCTGCTCTTTCAATGACTGGAAGTTGCACGCCTTTGGATGGGATGATCCCACACTTGAGGGGATCCCACACTCACACTGGTGACACCTGGTTGTGGTCCCGGGAATCCCCAACCGCAGAGCTGCTGGATTCACGTGCAGACCTTCAAGGGACTGAACTCCAGCCTCACCAACTTCACACTGGCACAACAGGTGCTTTCTATTTTTGTGCCCCCCGCCTTCACCCCTGACTCCTTGACTGTTACCTTCCACTGCCTTCTCTCTGTTCTAGCTCTAGCCATGTGGGGCTTCTTCTCACTGTTCTCAGGAACTGTCACTGCAGCAATGTTATGTAACAATTCATTAAAGAACAACCCCTGATTGGCATGAAACTATTATGTGTGTTTGGTGGGAACATTCTGGCACTGAATTTTTTTCACCTTTATTTAATCTTTTTCTTGAGACCCGAGTATAGTAGTTCGATATGCTAAACACAGTAACAACAAGTCTCAAAATGGAGATGTTACTGGGCCCACTCAAGCAAAATCGATGAACAACAGGAGGACAGTGTGACAGTGACAGTATAGTAGATCAAGACATTTTGTTAGGGAAGAGACTGATTGTTAAGACAGAAAGATAGGGCGACCTCTCATACTCTACCCCACTGACGTAGTACAGACTCTCATACTCTACCCCACCAAAAGTAGTACACATTTGTTTGGGTGGTGGGGTAGAGTATGAGAGTGTGTACTACAACCATGTATGTAATCTCTCATACAAGGGCTTAATATCCCCAGGATGAAATACAACAGTCTTCACACACTTTCCTCTTATGGTGGTGGGAAGGTGCATGGTGATGGGATTGGTGTTTGAATATTAAATGTAATGAATTATTGTGAACGACTTTATAAAAATAAATTTAAATTAAAAAAATAGAAAGATAGGGCACAATGTTCTGGGTCCTATGGAGTTTTGAATCTGACAATAAGCTTACGGGTACTATAGGAATGGAATCATAATCTTTACCTACATAAAGAAGTGATTTACTGCCGAACTACACCTCCCAGGTAACCTCTGATTCCGGAAGTCATGCCCACAGCCCGCCCCCCAGCGCCATCTTTGAAGCCTTAAGCATAAGAGAAAGAACACATGGAGAGTGCGGGATCCCGGAGGAAAAAAAAAAAGAAAAAACAGGTTCCAAAAAGAGCCAAGTTCACCCGCAAGTTCCAGATGGAGTAGGCGCCGCATCTCGCCTCCCCCAGATGGAACCCCGGTGACCAGAAGCCTCTACAAACACAGCTCGAGTATGCGGGAACGAGGACTTTTTCTCAAAACCGCGCGGCCGCTTACGCGGCCGCGCGACATCTCTCTATATACAAAGTGATCAATGAGAAGTAAACCACCCAATCTTTCTCCCTGAAAGTCAGAGTTAAGTTTGGAGCACGGCCACAGCCCCAGAAACACAAGGACTTAATGCAGAACCCAGCAGCTTAGAGCAGAAAAGTGAAAGGACTATGCGTTAATCCAGGCCATCAAGTCTGCCGGAGGGGAAAGGGTGTTGCCCCATTCGCCCTCTCTTCTCTGGAAAGAAGGATGGCGGCCGCATGGGAGCCTTGTGGACAGCAGGTATGAGCCGGGGGTGTGGGGGCGACTAAAACCTCATGGGAAGGGGGGCGTTCCGGTCCGTCCTTCACGCCCTACCGAGGCCACCAGTTGCCCCCCACGAGCGGCTCTC